ACTTAACTGCCTAGAATTTAAAGGGAGTCATACTAACCAGAATGAGAGGCTTTTAGTTTCTGCCCATGACACAGATCGATGTGTAATCATGGCTAGTTTCTTTTGACTCTTAAGTCTGCAGTTTGCAGCCTGCTATCTGCTCATAGGACTGAAGTCTATGTGGTTGACCTTTCCTTAATTTGTTTATAAAGCTATGTGAACAATGAAATGATTTCCCTTTCAAGATTGAAGTCTTTCATGCTCTAATAATGGCTTTGGCAAATGAAAACAACGGAAGTGGGAAAGCCTGAATTTGTATCTAGTTAACTGAGCTCATGTCTGGGACTAGGGGTATCCAGGGACTGTGTCTCATACACTTATGACAAGGTTGAGTTGCATGACATTCTTGCTTCTTCTGCCCTGTTGCATGACTTTCTTTGCTTCCTCTGCCCTGTTTTTCATCACACTTAGCTAAAATATGATAAAGATTAGGTCCACAGGTCTTTAGAAAGTGTGTATTTTTTTTTTAATTTTATTGAAGATGAACCAACCTTTGGAGTCAGTTGATGTGATAATATTGCCATAATAAATGTATATTTACATCTGGATGTGCATAGTATTTTATTAATATTCCTAATAGAGTCATTGTTTTGGAGGAAAAATCAAGAATTTTAACTGCCTATCATGGCGAGCCCATCTACTTTATATTCTGTCAATATGATTTTCTGCATTTCCGGCTAATGACACATCCATAGAAAGAAAAAAAAGTAACCACTACATTTTTAACAGATTGATATCCTCTAGTTGAATGTTCCTATTTCTGAACACAATGTTTGAATTCTAAGAAAGGAGGAAACCAAGTGTTCATAGAACCTTTTTGAAAACTGTATAGCACAGACAAATGGTGAGCCATTTCCATGAGGGCTGTGACTAGATCCTAATGTGGGAAAGGACTGGTAGGGAATGCTGTATTTGTTCTGTGCATAAACAGTCAAATTCGGGGTATTTCATATAAGAGGCAGGATCATGAGTTTATGCATTTGATAGCATTTCTCCCGTAGGGTATCACACTTTTCTATGTATTTCTTTGACATTCTTTTCCTGTCATATTCCCGTTTGCCTAGATTTTAGAGCTTAGCATAATCAAGGCTGTAGAGAGTTACATGATTTGTTAACCAATGTTTAGAATTCTGTGTAGAAAGATGCCCTTTGAGTTTTTCTTAAGTGGCTTGATGTATGTTCTGAGTTGTTTTCTTTGGTTTTAAGGACAGAGAACTTATTTGCCTGGAAATTTTCTGTAAAGTATTGATATTCTCTCTCTCTCTCTCCTTTTCTCTTTCTCTTTCTCTCCCCCTCTCTCTCTTTCACACACAGACACACACACACACACACAGAAGTTTCTGTGTGCCAGACATTAATTTAGACATTTAAGATACATTAATAATGAAATGTTGAGCTCACATTTTTATTCTACCAAACTCCACAACAGGAAGTTGTTACATGAATTCATGTCTTTTTATTTCTTCTATTTTAAGTTAATTCTTTATGGTGAATATCATGTCATAGCCTCTTCTAGTGCCTTAAGAATGGTCACATAGTGAATGGTAGAACTCAGTGAAGATAGCTGTGCATGTCAAGTTTCCATCGTTATTCTTGTTGTCTTCTGAAAGATAAGATAAATAAAATGATCAAAGACTCTAAGTGATGATACTTTGGTGGTGCCAGTTTTGGTGAGTTTGCAACCTTTTATCAGCTGTATAAATACCTTGCTTGTTCCCTCTTCCATTCAGATGCAAAATCAGAAATCAAAGGATAGCTTTAATTGTTCATGTGTAGTTGATTCATAATCTTCTGTTGAAAATTTCTGAAAGTAATGAATGTTTTATGGTTTATGCTGCCCTGAGAATTAGTTATTTTAAAAATAGATTTATTAAAACTGAAAGGCTGCTAGTAATCGCTAGCTATAAAAATGGAGTTGTTTGGGGATGGTTTCCACACTGCTCTATGCTAATCTTTTTTTTCCCCTTCCATTGTGATAATAACAGATGATATGGGGAAAGGATACATATGTCAAGATTTTTCTGATTAGCTGAACCAAGTATATTTTGCAGCACTTCCTTGCCACGTCTTTTGAAAACTACCTTCTCTTCTGTTCTCAGTTGTTTACATGTAACTGTTTACATAAAGATTATTACCTCGTTTTGTGCGTATGTCATTATGTATTGCATTTTATTTATTTTTTTTAAAGATTTATTTATTTATTTTGGGGAGAGGAGCAAAGGGAGAGAGAGTCTTTTGTTTTTGTTTTTTTAAATTTTTATTTATTTATTTTTTAAAAAGATTTTATTTATTTATTTGACAGAGAGAGAGATAGCGAGAGCAGGAATACAAGCAGGGGGAGTGGGAGAGGGAGAAGCAGGCTTCCTGCTGAGCAGGGAGCCCGATGTGGGACTCAGTCCCAGGACCCTGGGATCATGACCTGAGCCAAAGGCAGACGCTTAACGACTGAGCCACCCAGGCGCCCGGGAGAGAGAGTCTTAAGGAGACTCTGCACTGAGCTTGGAGCCCCGTGGAGCCCCGTGTGGGGCTCGATCTCACCACCCTGAGGTCATGACCTGAGCCTGAAACCAAGGGAGTCGGACCCTTAACCAACTGCACCCACAGGCGCCTCATATTGCACTTTATAAAATGTTCTGACTGAATGCTACTACCATTGTCACTTAAACATCCGAAAGTCTCTCAGCTTTGACCAATCCAGACATTTCTCAATGTGGATTCTAGGGAATCCTAGATTTACAGGGTATTTAAAATGTTATGAGAAAGAAGATGGTTCGGTGCTGAGGTAAGTTGAACTACTTTACCGCAAAGCCACTCAGAGCTTTCTAAGTATGTTAATACGCACGGTGATTTTCTAAGAGAGAAAGCACAGTAATGGCTTTTCCACAGAGAGTTTCATGCTGTGGGGATGACTGGCTCTCTTATTTTATGGATTAGAAAACAGGCTCCCAGCAATTAAACAACTTGCTTAAAATTAAACCTCTAGACTAATACTTTTAATTCAGTGCCATTCTCAGATGGATCCTGGTGGATCCACCCCTTGTCACTCCTCTCTCTATCAGCTCTTAGGACAAAAGTGGCTCTTACCCTGACCTCTGAGCTTGTACTTCTATTTGTTTTGTTTTGTTTTAATTTAAATACAATTATTGAACATTATCTCAAAAACTAATGTTTTGTTTTTTAAAAGATTTTATTTATTTATTTGAGAGAGAGAGAGAGAGAGCATGAGCAGGGGGAGGGGCAGAGGTAGAAGCAGACTCCCCACTGAGCAGGGAGCCTGATATGGGGCTCCATCCCGGGACTCTGAGATCATGACCTGAGCTGAAGTCAGATGCTTAACTGACTGAGCCACCCAGGCACCCCTGGGCTTATACTTCTTATTTGTTTTGAATGACAGGAAACATATCTCTGAAAAACTGCCCTGAAGTCCCAGATTTCCACCTAGAGAGTATATTGATTTATTTACAGTTTTTTCTTCCCTGCATTCTTTCCCTTAAAAGAAAGGAAGAAACAAAAAGAAAGAAAGAAAGAAAGAAGGAAAAGAAAAGAAAGAAAGAAAGAAAGAAAGAAAGAAAGAAAGAAAGAAAGAAAGAAAGAAAGAAAGAAAGAAAGAAAGACACACAAAACAAAACATTATTACTGGGTATACCAGAAAGTGGGGTTTGGGAGAGACACCTTGTCCCCTGGAGAACTTTATCCCCACACTAAAAATTCAGTAAATACTAGTCTTTGCATTTGTGGCTTTTGCAGTATTTCTTTGGAGTTCATTCTCTTAGTAAATCATTTTAAATGCCAAGCATGGAGTATACATTGGTAAGTAGGTTGGACATAACCCCATGACTTTCTAGAGCTCACAATAGTGACAGAAAAGAGAAATTAAAGAAATAATCACAGTTTATCAGAAATAAACAAACAAATAAATTGTGATAAGTACTCAAGATTGAAGTATAGAGAACTATGAATTGTATAGTAAAGGGGGGCATTTTCTAGCCAGAGGGTACAAAGAAGGCTTCCTGCGGAAGTGGCTTAAGGTGAGCCGTGTAGGATGCCTAGGTGGTGGTTACAGGAAGGGGATTGGAGTCAGAGCCCAGAGCAGGTTCCTTAGGGCTGAAGGAGCTTGGTGTCAGGAAGTGAGAGGACACTAGTGTGGTTCTTGTGTGGGTAGTGCTTGAGCTTCGGTGAGAAATCTGATGTGTGAATGCATGAGATTGCTTTCTTGAATTGACGCAATGTACCATTTGCCAACAAGAACCATTGTTGTTCGGGCACCTGGGTGGCTCTGTCCATTAAGCGTCTGCCTTTGGCTCAGGTCATGATCCCAGGATCCTAGGATTGAGCCCCACGTTAGGCTCCCTGCTCAGCGGGGGTCTGCTTCTCCCTCTCCCTGCTTCTCCCTCTCCCCATCCCCTGCTCGTGCTCTCTCTTGCTAGCTCTCTCTCTCTCTTTCAAATAAATAAATAAATAAAATCTTTAAAAAAAAATAAAAGAAAAAAAGAACCATTGTTGTTGGTTTCTCACTTGCTTGGTGAATTTTGATATTCATCTTGCAAATGCAAATAGTGTTCTATCATCAAAAAGTCTGGGAGAATGCTGCATAAGTTTTGCCTAAAAGTAATCATGCTTGTGATCAAAATAACTCTTTCCCAGAGACAAATGATAGGGACCATACAGCCCTTTCGTATAACCCCAGATAGTGATTTTTCTTACATTCTTTTAGGGCATAATTTAAAACTGTTCATAGCACTTTGGAAGATTTCATATTTATTATTGCCTGTTTTAAAATAACATGTATGAAGTAGAATGTAAAGGAATTTACAGAATTTAGGGGAATAAAGTGAAAATCTGATTTGACATTGGTTCTGCTTTCTGCATCATTTTCTGGTGTTTCCTTAAAAAAATATGTATTTGGGATTTAACCCTGTGCTTTACTGACCACTTTGTTTTTTGTCTTCTGCCTCTTCTAGTCTAGTGGGACTGCAGCCATCATTGCTATTTTGGTGTTACTGCTACTACTGGGCATTGGTTTGATGTGGTGGTTTTGGCCCCTTTGCTGCAAAGTGGTGAGTAAGGAGGATTTGCAACTCTACTCTTTTGTAAAGCAGTGAGATGTAAAGTAAGGCTCGAAATGTGAATCAATGCCAGTGTCCAACAACAGCAGAGATTCAGTTAGCAAATTGAATTTTAATAGTTTTTATTACTACAATAAATTCTAGAAAACATGCATGCCAATAAATGTTTATTATCAAACTTCATCTAAAACACATTTCAAAATCAAGTTTGGAGGGAGAAGGGGAGAGGAAAGTAGAAGAGGTAGTAGGGATAAAGGGTTTTCTATTGCAGTACAAAAGAGTTTCAAGTAAGTTGAATGATATTTTCAGTTGGGTTCATGGGAGAAGTTGATAATCTGTCAGGTTTTCTTGTCAGTTCTTATTGAATCCTTCATTACCTCTGTAAAATCTGTTTCAGGACCTTCTCTGTTTGCCTCTAGGAAAAATATTTTAGAGATAAGTCATGTGCAAATGTTAAGGTGTCTGTCAAATTGGCAGTTTTGAAGTTATGACGGTTTGTTTGTGTTATTTTTCATGTTTGAGTAAAACCTTTGAAAGAATACAGGCTTCTGTTCCCTTTCTCTTGCTATTGTAACAAATTGCTTCATATTTGGTGGCTTAAAGCAACACAAATTTATTATCTAACAGTTATTTAATCACAGATACAAGATGGGTCTCACTGGACTACGCTGGGCTAAAAGGTATTGGCAGAGATACATTCCTCTCTTAATGCTCTGGAGGGGAATCTGTTCCCTTGGCTTTTCCAGCTTCCAGAGGACACACACGTCCCTTGCCTTGTGGACCCCTCCCTCCATCTTCAAAGCCAGCAACATTGTATCTCCTTGACCATTCTTCTGTAGTTAAGTCTCCCTCTGACTCTCAACACAGCTGGGAAAGGACCTCCAACGTTAAGGAACCTTGTAAAGAAATTGGACCCACCTGGATAATCCGTGCTACTCTACCCTCTCAAGATCCTTAACTCTCAATCTGCAAAGTCCCTTTTGCTATGTAATGAAATTATTTATAGTTCTAGGGACATCTTTGGAGGGCCATTATTCTGTCTTCCACGGGGTGGACTGTTGGGTAGTAGAGTTCAGCACATTTCGAGCAATCCAATTTAGATTGTTCAGGTTTCATAGAAAAGAGTATCCTGAAGAAGCAGTCGTTCAAAGCATACCTCCTTCTTAGTTTGATAGCATTCCTTTTATTATCGGCACTTTATGTAGAACCTTATATTCTGTAGATCGCAGCGGTGTTGTACATGATATTACTAGACTGCCTTTTTTCTCCCTCACCTTTGCTGACTCATTTTAGTTTCCTTGTAACTTCAGGCACTAGTCTGCATTACTCCTGCATTTATTATTAATTGTACTTCAGTCTGTTTTCATGAGTCCACTTTATAATCCTTTATCTCAGAACAGTTGGTCTATGGAGGAGGCACAGAATTAACTCAGACAACCGTAGAGACGAGAAGCATCCTGTCTCTTTGCTGAACTAATCAGTTTCCTGCCATAGCAATTTATGTTCAAACGGTTTCCTGTTGTAATCTTGATTATCCTAATATGTTTATTTTAGGGTGGCTTGCATTCTTGAGTCTCAAATTAAAAAGCAAAAAAGTGCCCTAATATGATTCGTGCTCCTTGGTTTTTTTTTAATTTAAATTTTGATGTGGTGGATTTCCTTCCTTCATTACTTGGCAGTTTCATTTATTACTGATCGGAGGGCTCAAAAGTGTCAAAGTACATGATTTTTTAGATGTGTATGAAAACTAAAATAGGCTTCTCTGGGGCATTGCTAAATGTGCTCAAGTGCAGATCTTGACCACCATTTTGGATGTTAAAGAGAGGATTCAATCTCCAGGTGGTTAAGAATAGGTTCATTTACAACTCTGAGACTGCAGATCGTGAATCACAGAGTATATTTCTTTATGCAAAGCATAGAGGGATGCCTTTAAGGTGTGTTGTCAGGATGTCAGGAGAGTTTCCTATCCTTACAAACATTATGAATACTTACTGATTTCTGAAACTTACTTAATAGAGACGCCCACCTGTATTTGACATTTAGAACTATAGATTAAAGGGCTAGCCCTGAGTATGAACTTACATTTATACTTAGGTATAAATGAATCATAGCGAATATTTTCTAAGGTAGCTTTAAAAGCAGGGTAGAGGCAAAATTCTGTATTTAGCCCTTGGCAATCTGTGTCAATACTCTATTAGGAACTGTATAGTCATACAAAAATGACTATAATATGATATGGAAACTCACATTTTAATATGGAAGCACAGAAGTGTGGGCAAAGTATAACTGGAGGGGCATGAGTGCCCCAACAGCAACATTTGTAAAGCACAGGAAGAACATAAGAGGAGGGATTTGCCAGAGTTACGGGATTGTCTCAGACAAACCTTACTGGGCTGATGACTCCAAACTGAGTTTTGAATAATGAATAAGATGTTTACAGTTGATGAGGGACATTTCAGATGAAGTGTGTGTGGAATTATATTGAGTTATTCCAGCATGCTTTGGGAAGCACTAGGCTGAGGCTTACCCAGCGTGCCTGTGAAAAGGAACAGCAAAAGATGGTGTGGGGTTTAGGCAGGAATCCCATTAAGGAGGCTTCCTCTGTCTTTTAGGAAGTTTGAACTCACCCCAGGGATGATGAGAAGCCACTGGAGAGATTTGATTAGTATAATCCCCTGAAAGAAGCTTTGCTTGCTTCACAGCAGTATCTGCCCAGGTCTGGTCCTGGTGGGGATTAAGTTTGTATCCAACTGAGTTTCCATCAATTGAAATGGAAAGCCAGTGACAGATAATGCACCTTAGAGATGGCCAAAGCAAAGGATCGCTAACAAAGTAGATAGGAATAGAAGATGGAAGCTAAGTGAGCTAGAGAAAAATGAAGAGGTGATGTGGAAAAAAGGGACAAAGGGACCATAGCCTTGTGAAAAAATCTCAAGTGTCAGAGGGTCTTGTAGTGCAATGGCAGGATATTTGTTTTATTTTGTTCCTTTTAGAGAATATGTTTGCACAATGCTGGACTTAGAATGTAGTTTGCTAAATAATTCTTAGCAGTTAAATTATTAGGGATCAATTTAACCTTGACTATATTGTTACCAGTAATATTACTTTCTAACAGGAAATTTGTTGCAGCTTGGTGTTGTATAAATTTTGTTTTGTGTGAGTGTTTTTAAAGTATTAGTGGCAAACATTTAAATCTCATCTTTCAACTGAAAAATGACAAAATAACTTAAAATGTCTGTTCTCAGGCACATTTAGATTATGTCAGCAATCCACCTCCTTGAAAATCTTATGCTCGGGAGCTCTTATAAAGATAGAAAGTCTGGAAATAAAGCCCTGAACAGAGGCCCTAATATTTTTCACACATTCTTATTCATTCATTTAATATTTTATGTAAATATCTTTTTTTTAAAGATTTTATTTATTTATTTGACAGAGAGATAGAGAGAGAGCACAAGTAAGCAGAGCGGCAGGCAGAGGGAGACGGAGAAGCAGGTTCTCTGCTGAGCAGGGAGCCTGACGTGCGGCTCGATCCCAGGACCCTGGGATCATGACCTGAGCTGAAGGCAGACACTTAACCTACTAAGCCATCCAGACGCCCCTTATGTATATCTTACGAAATGATTTGTTCATTGTTCAGAGATTAAAATTTCACAGATGTCTAATCAATAACTCAAAAAATAACAGTGTTACTTACATTTTAGACAGTGGTCCTCATTTTTTTTTTCCCTACCCTAAATAACGGGAAGCTCTCAGAGCAGTAGTGGTAAGATTTCCAATGGTGGTGATTCTCCCTGAAGGGAAAGGGCGGGACAGTTAAGGGTCTCCAGGGTTTAATGCCATTTGGAAAAGCCCTTGTAGTAGGCTGAATAATGGTCCCTAAAGAAATGCAGGTCTTAATTCCTAGAAATTCTGAATGTTATCTTCTATGGCAAAAGGGACTTTGAGGTGTGATTAAAATAAGGATCTTTGAGATGTGATTAAATTAAGCTCCTGAGTGTAAGGAGATTAGCGTAAGGAAGAGGACAAGGCAATGTGACCCCCGGGGGCAGAGATTGGGGGATGCAGCTACTAGCCAGGGAATGCTGACAGTCACCGGAAGCTCAGAGAGGCAAGCAACAGCTAGAGCCTGGGAACCTGTAGAAGGAACCAGTTCTACTAATGCCTCATTTTAGCTTTATAAGACTCAGTTCGGACTCCTGACTTCCAGAACTGTAAGAAAATAAGTTTTTGTTGTTTTAAGCCATCGAATTATGGTAATTTGTTACAGCAGTATTAAGAAACTAGCACAGTCATTAAATGATTCTGCTATTCCCCAGGGCTGGGGATCACTGCTTAGGGCTATCAATTTCGGTAATTCTTATGTAATATGTTTTCAGATCAACTCAGAAAAACTGTTCATGGAGTCTCAGAGGTTGTAAAATGGAAGACAATGACATATTCTTCAAAATGGTAGCAATGGTTACACGGCTATTAAAAAATCAGTATGCATTTTTTAAAATTAGAATTACCTTTCTGTTTTGAGTAACCATAACATAAATGAGCATAACGTTTTATATATTGAGTAGAATTTACTTACTGTTTCAGAGTGGCAAGGAGTTATTGGAAGAAATAGGCTTCTAACTGTTAAAAGTATTCGAGGCATATATGTTGTTAGAACCATTCAACAACAGGGATCCATGGACAGCTTTCTCGGGGTGCTTGTTATTTGCCAGAAGAGGCCAGTACCATCCCATTCATATTCAGATATTGAACCACTGAATCCCTTGAAAGCTAGAAAGTGACCTTTTTACTGTTAGGGAAAAGCAAAGAATTTGAATATTCAACTAATAAACTGTGTCTCTGAAACAATGGTGTAGACCTCATTCACTGTACCAGTTTGGTATCAGGAACAAGAAATGTATCAAAGTCATAAATATCCCCTCTAAAGATTTTATATTAAAATTTTAACCAAAATCCTCAAAAAGTTACCCTGTCAGGTTAGAAAATGGTAC